ACAATTCTTAAGCACAAAACATTCTAGAAACAGGCGAAAAGACTCATAAAAAATCCTTACTAGTTTTGAACATAGAATTCTTTGACTTAAACACAAAATCAGAAAGGATGCGCATACAAAGCTAGGAAATAAAAATTCTGCAACTTTCTCGTGCATCCAAAATTTGTTTGTGCAAAGTGAAACCTATCCAAACGCTATGCATTAACTTATTTCCATCAGATTCATAAGTTCACACAGATAAAAAAAAAACAGCAGAGATGCTAGGGAAGGGACTTGTGATGAACGTTCATGATATACCACACCTGGGTTTCTGTCTCTCAAAACCCAGCCCAAGCTAAAAGATTCTAAGCACAAAAACAAGCAAAGCTGCAAACTTTCTGCAATTTTTGTTCGGCCAAAACACAATCATACAGTAAAATTCAAATGAGACCTACTGATTCATCACATAGACTCCAAACATCACAACTTTATCAGCAAAGAACCATCAACTAATCACAGAAGCAAAGACAGAAGCAAATAACAATAAAGAAAACAGATTTCTACCATAAAAGATAAGGATTTTACCTTAAATACGAAATGAAGCGTGGGATGACTAAAAAAAAGGCCGAGATGGTTTCTGCCGGATCTTCAAAGGAACGTCAACGGAACAACGATGATAAGGATCTGTCACCTTCTTGCAACCCCAAACTCTTTTCCACCTCACCCGTAACTTCTTTTCCCAGCCGCCAAGCTTTTTCCTTTCGGCCAAAGGTTTTGCAACTGCCTACCTCTCGCTCTCTCCCTTTCGGTCTCTTTCTAAACCTCAAATTCTGGTTTTCCTTCTATCTCAGACCCACTCTCAAAGCTTGCTTGCTTTTTTTTTTTTTTGCTCACTTGACTGCAACTCTGAGCTTTTCTTTTCCTCTTTTTCCTCTCTCAGCCGCCACAAAACCTCCCTTGGTTTCCCTTTTTTTTTTCTCCTAAAAATCCAGTCGTCCCTTTTATATCAGGCTCCCCACCCTAAAACCTCATCTTGATGGTTCATAAACAGCTTCAGGTCACCGTTTCTCTCTCAGCCATTGGATTAGCCACAACTTCTGAATTGTTTTCTTGGCTTGCCGATGAAAGCCAGGTGTAACAGTACTAACATGATCGAAGGGAGCTAAAAGAAACAAGGAAAATAGCCGAAAATATGCAGCTGCAAACCTGCGACTTTATTTTCTGTTGATACGATATCAAGGAGAAGCAGCGAGTGTGCCCAGCGTTTTTTTTTATTATTTTTTTTATGCTAAAAAGTCTTATAAATAAAATAAAATAAAATAAAATAAAATAAATAACTAAAAGAGTAAAAATGAATACAAAATAAAAATGATAAATAATAATAATCTAAAAAAAAAACTAAAGTGCTATACAAATTCTAAAAGTCTAAGAACTAGAAATTATGGAATTAAGAGAATTATTACTAAAAATAGAAACAAAGTTAGGATAAAAATTATTTTAAAATTTGGTGTCTACAGGATCATTTCTCGAGCTGGCTGGTGGCGCAGTGGGACGTGCACCTGGCGAGCTCGTCATTTCTGTACCAGTTCTGCGGCATCTTGGAAGATGGAGGGCCAATAGTAGTCCAAGAGAAGGCACTTTTTGGCCAATACCCGAGACCCCACATGTGCCGCACATATCCCTTCATGGATTTCGCGAAGGACGTAGTCACTTTCCTCGGGAGTCACGCACTTTAGCCAGGGCGATAAGTATGACCTCCTGTAGAGGGTTCCCCCAGAGTAGGCGTACTTGGCAGTTCTGAACTGGATCCGGCGAGTCTCGGTTTTGTTCTCAGGGAGGGCACTCGAGCTGAGGAAGTTTACTAGGAGGGTCATCCAAGTGGCCGAGCTGTCTATAGCCAGGATGTGGACATGGTTGATACTTTTCTGCTTGACCACCTCTACCAAAACTTCCTTGTTCAGGTGCGCAAACGAGGAGGATGCCAGCTTTGACAGGGCGTCTGCACGCATGTTTTGCGATCTTGGCACCCGCTCGATTTCAAAGGTATCAAACAGGGCTATTGCCTCCTGCACCTTAGCCAGATATTTCTTCATGACCTCCTCGTTGGCCTCGTATTCCCCGCGACCTTGGAGGACGACGAGCTGAGAGTCGCTCCGGACTTTGATCGCGGCTATACCCATCTGGTGGGCTATCCGCAACCCCGTCAATAGGGCCTCATACTCAGCCTCGAAGGGAGCTAAAAGAAACAAGGAAAATAGCTGAAAATATGCGGCTGCAAACCTGCGACTTTATTTTCTGTTGATACGATATCAAGGAGAAGCAGCGAGTGTGCCCAGCGTTTTTTTTTTATTATTTTTTTTATGCTAAAAAGTCTTATAAATAAAATAAAATAAAATAAAACAAATAACTAAAAGAGTAAAAATGAATACAAAATAAAAATGATAAATAATAATAATCTAAAAAAAACTAAAGTGCTATACAAATTATAAAAGTCTAAGAACTAGAAATTATGGAATTAAGAGAATTATTACTAAAAATAGAAACAAAGTTAGGATAAAAATTATTTTAAAATTTGGTGTCTACAGTTTGCCCCTCTTTGTCTGAGTTTTGGAAAAATTTGAGACAAAGAAGTGGACACCAAATACTTACCTGCATTACTAAACATGAGAAGGTCAGTGGGATAAATACCCGAGCCTGCTTTCCCTGTTGGTTAGTGGGACGAATACCCGAGCCTGCTTTCGATCGGTCACTTGGATCAATAGTTGGTCAGTGTGATCAACACCCGAGCCTGCCTTCGATCGGTCATTTGGTCAGTGGGATCAACACCCAAGCTTGCCTTCGATCGGTCATTTGGTTCAATAATTGGTCAGTGGGATCAACACCCGAGCCTGCTTTCGATCGGTCACTTGGTCAGTGGGATCAACACCCAAGCCTGCCTTCGATCGGTCATTTGGTCAGTAATTGGTCAGTAATTGGTCAGTGGGATCAACACCCGAGCCTGCCTTCGATCGGTCGCTTGGATCAATAATTGGTCAGTGGGATCGACACCCGAGCCTGCCTTTGATTGGTTAATTTTGTGCAAGATTTTCGTAGAGTTTCAGAAGGAGAGACAAACGATTTCTTCTAAGAATTGTCCCAGTGTAATGCGATTGACCTATCGGACCTGCAAGAAAAGAAATAAGGATAGATAACACCGCCACCATTCGATCAGCCCCTTTCTTCAAGAGATGTGTAAACATGAGTATTTCGGACTTCTTTGGTGACGTAGTGAGTACTCCAACCTTGCCCTGCAAACAATATCAAACTTCTATAATTTCTTGCACTTAAACCAGCATATCATTGAGTATCCATTTATCTTCGATAACTTATAGGGATTGCCATTGATAAAAACAAAAGAGACTAACGGGACCATGAAGCACATAAAAATACTCTAATTGCGTATGATGACGATAATTCTAGTAATGTAAACACAGTCATCCCTTTTATTGAAAAAGTCATTTTCAAATAAGCTTATATACTCAAATTTAAAAGCTTGTGTTAGATAAATCGAACGTTTTGAATTCTCGAACTGAATGCCACTTTTGACCCTTTGGATATCAATCTTCGGAAGTTCAATGCTTGACAAACAGAACCACAATGTGAGGAGAAATTTCAATGAACTAAGTCACCAGCCTTTCGGATCCAAACTCACTTTTCCTTATGAAACCCTACCTCAGCGCCCTTTCGGGTTTTCACTAAGGTTGCCCCTGCCCATTTTGTATTTTGTTGTTTGTTGTTGTTTTTTCTTTTCTTTTTTTTTTTCTTTTTTTTCTAAGGTGCCCTTGCGGGTTTTCACCAAACAAATCTTGTCCATCGCCCATATTAATCCAGAAATGTATTTTAAGAAATAATGGCATCAGTATAACAATCCTTCCCTTGCAAAAAAGGGGAGGTGTTTTTGACATCATGTGCCACTTGATTAGAAATTGTCCTAAAAAGGCCATATAACGAACAGAAATCAGGACTTTAGCCTTTTGTAATGGGGTTAGGCGGGGCGTTCAGAAAAGTTAAGGCTTGAAAGCGGATTCTAACCGTGGTTTAAATAATCTGAGATCGCATTGTTGCACCAAACCTATCTTAGAGTGAAATCAAAACTTGCCCCAGTTTTATCCCTAATTGAGGCTCTCTTTTCTTTCATTTTCCTCTCCCCCTTTTCTTTTTGGCTTTCTGCCATTCTTTTTGAAACTCTCAAAATTTTGCCAAAGTTTATGCTTAACCGAGGTTCTTTTCCTTTCATCTTTCATTTTCATTTTTACCTTTTTGAAACCCCTCCCCTTTTTCTTAACTTTTCAACTCAAAACCTGCCCCAGTGTGGGGTTTACGATTCTCAGTGGTTGCCAAACGAAATGATTTACTCTGAAGGCTCAAAAGGGAGTAACTAAGGATAGAATACTTAATTGGAAAGGAAGAAGGCCTGACTTTTCATTCCATTCGCTACATTGACCCTAAAAGGAAAATTCCATGTATCATATGAAAAATTTCTTACACATGTCCGAATTAATTGGTTGAGGGAACACTTGCCCATCCATTTCTGCAAGAATGAGTGCTCCTCCGGGCAAAACTTTCTGGACAATAAAAGGGCCTTGCCAATTTGGTGCAAATTTCCCCTTAGCTTCCTCTTGTATTGGCAAAATGTGTTTCAGCACTTTATCTCCTTCTGCGAATATCCGTGGTCTAACCTTCTTATTGTAAGCACGGGCTACCTTTTTTTGATATCATTGACCATGACAAATGGCATTTAATCTCTTTTCATCAATTAAGGATAACTACTCATGACGTTGTTTAATCCAATCAGCCTCATCTAGCTTGGCCTCCATTAAAATGCGCAATGAAGGGATTTCGATCTCAGCTGGCAGCACTGCTTGCATCCCATACATAAGGTTGTAGGGAGTTGTCCCAGTAGAGGTCCGTATAGCAGTTCTATATGCCATTAATGCATAAGGGAGCTTCTCGTGCCAATCACGGTGTTTTTCAATCATTTTTCAAATTATCTTCTTCAAGTTCTTATTTGCGGGCTCCACAGCTCCATTCATCTGTGGTCTATAAATAGAGGAGTTCTGATGCCTGACTTTGAACTGTTCACACAATCTATCTACCATATCATTGTTGAGATTCTTGGCATTGTCAGTGATTAATGTCTCTGATACTCCAAAACGACAAATGATGTGCTTCCTTAGAAAGTCCGTCACCACCTTTTCAGTCACATGCTTATAAGATTCAGTTTCAACCCACTTGGTGAAGTACTCAATTGCCACCAGAATAAACCGATGCCCATTTGAAGCGGGAGGGTCAATGGCTCCGATCACATCCATACCCCACATCGAACATGGCCAGGGAGTAGTCATACTGTGTAATTTTGTAGGGGGAGTGCGCATAACATCTCCATGCAATTGACACTTGACGCATTCCTAACGAAAACTACACAATCATGCTCCATAGTAAGTCAAAAATATCCGGTCCTCATGATCTTTCTTGCTAATAAATGGCCATTCATATGTGATCCACATACTCCACTATGTACTTCTTTCATCAGGTATTCTGCTTCATCTTCATCAACACACCTTAAAAGGCCCAAATCTGACGTCCTTTTGTATACCACCTCTCCGTTTAGGAAAAATTTGGAGGATAATCTGCGCAAGAAACTTTTAGCAGTTGTATCTGCCCCAGGGGGATAGAACCCTGTTTTGAGAAATTTCTTGATATCGTTGTACCAGGGACGGCCATTGGAAGACTTTTCCACAACTAGGTAGTGAGCCGGTTTTTCTTGTAGATGAATCTGGATAGGTTCAATTACCAACTCATCTGGATGTTGAATCATTGAAGATAAAGTGGCCAAAGCATCGGCAAAGACATTTCGGACACGAGGAATGTGCCGAAACTCCAAACTCCTAAACTTATTTGCTAAATCCAGTAAGCTGCAATGATAAGGCAAGATCTTTGAATCCCGTGTGATCCACTCCTTGAGAGTCTGATGTACAAGCAAATCTGAATCGCTGAACACTAGTAAATCCTTAATCTCCATTTCTAACGCCATCTTTAACCCAAAAATGCACGCTTCATATTCGGCCATATTGTTAGTACAGAAAAATCGGAGTTTGGCCGAACCAGGGTAATGCTTTCCTTCAGGCGAAACTAGAACAACTCCAATACCAGCCCCGAAGGAATTTGATGCTCCGTCAAAGAACATCCTCCACTCCGGGCATTGATCATTCATATCTTCTGCTATACCCACGAACAGGGCCTCTTCATCCGGAAAATAAGTGTGAAGCGGTTGATAATCATCTCTCAGCGGATTTTCAGCCAAATGATCGGCCACAGCCTAGCCCTTGATAGCCTTCTGCGTGGTAAAAAAATATCAAACTCCGAAAGAATCATCTGCCATTTTGCCATACGTCCTGTCGGCATAGGCTTTCCCAACAGATATTTCAAAGGGTCGGAGCGGGAAATGAGGTAAGTAGTATGACTGAGCAAGTAATGCCTCAACTTTTGTGCGGCCCAAGCTAAAGCGCAACAACTCCTCTCCAGAAAAAAATAGTTGGCTTCATACGCAGTGAACTTCTTACTGAGGTAATAGATGGCTTGCTCCCTTTTCCCCGATTCGTCGTGTTGTCCCAATACACACCCCATAGCTTCGTCCAACATCGATAGGTACATGATCAAAGGTCGTCCCGGTTTGGGTGGCACTAAAACTGGAGGATGCAATAAATAGTCCTTGATCTTATCAAACGCCTGCTGGCATTCTCCACTCCAACGCAACGGTACATTTTTCTTCAATAATTTGAACAAAGGCTCACACGTATGGGTCAACTGAGCGATGAACCTCCCGATGAAGTTAATCCTTCCTAAAAAACTCTCCACGTTCTTTTGCGTTCTTGGCACTGGCATCTCACGAATGGCCTTAATCTTTGCCGGATCTATCTCAATACCCTTCTTACTGACAATGAATCCCAATAACTTTCCGGCAGGGGCCCCAAATGCACACTTTGCAGGGTTTAACTTCAAATCATATCTTCTCAATCTTTCGAATAACCTTTTCAAATCAATCAGATGATCCTCCGCTCTCATGGATTTGATAATGATGTCGTCCACGTAAACCTCCATCTCCTTATGAATCATATCATGGAACAGGGTGGTCATGGTCCTTTGGTAGGTGGCTCCGGCATTTTTCAATCCAAATGGCATTATCCGGTAGCAAAATGTTCCCCATGGCGTAATAAAAGCTGTTTTCTCTCTATCTTTCTCTGCCATTAAGATCTGGTGATACCCAGCAAAACAGTCAGCAAATGATTCAATCTCATGCCCTGCGGTATTGTCTAGAAGAATATGAATGTTTGGCAACGGAAAATCATCTTTCGGGCTGGCTTTATTAAGATCCCTGTAATCGACACAGACTCGCACTTCTCCACTTTTTTTTTTGGAACAGGTACAGGGTTTGAAAGCCAAATGGGATAATGAGACACCATAATGATTCTAGCATTGAGCTGCTTCTCGATTTGCTCCTTAATTTTGAGGCTCATGTCTGGCTTAAACTTGCGAGGTTTTTGTTTCACTGGTGGAAAATTCGGATCGGTTGGCAATCGATGGACCATTATATCTGTTGAAATCCCAGGCATATCATTATAGGACCAGGCAAACACATCTTGAAACATAGTCAAAAACTCAATCATTTCTTTTCTCTGTTTCTTATTCAAGTGAATGCTAATTTTTATCTCCTTAACCTCAGTCTCAGTGCCAAGATTAACAACTTCTGTTTCTTCTAAGTTCGGTTTGGATTTCTCCTCATACTGTTCAAAATCCTTTAACAAAGACTCAGATTCTTCCTCGTTATCGCTCTCGTCTTGAATTTCAGATTCCAAAATTTCAAAGTCGTGAGGGATATCGAGATCGCAATCATCAAAATTCAGAATAGTGATATCCAAAGGGTCAATGTGTTTTATTTTTGGCCATCTGAAAAAGAATAAAATAAGTACAATAGTAAGTAAGTTAAAACCATTTGGACCATAAACACTGTGCATTTCATTGAAATTCAAAGTAAAGGATAACATCATGACATGCTACTTAACAAGAAATTTAACGCAAGACTTGCATTGGAAAACATTTGATTGAAAACTATTTACAAACATTGAAAGACAAAAGATAAGTAGTATAAATGATTTGTCTCATGTCGACCAAAGGCAATCCCCTAATTTATCGAAATTCCCTGCAGGAGGGAAGAAGATCACTGGTCCAGTTCTTCACTGCTTCAATAGGCACCTCTGGAAATCCTGGGTCCTCCAACGGCTCCCCCTCAGAAATAACCCCCACAAATAGCTCAGATAATCCAACCTCCACTTCCTCGATCGGGTCTACTTCAGATCTGATCACCTCTGATGGGTAAGGAAAAGTACAGTATAATGGTGGGATATTCATGATAAGCTGTCTCCCTTCCTTCTCTGCCCTCCTACGATTCATCATTTCTTTCTTGTCCTTGCCAGTAGGTTGAAACCCTAATCCGAAGGTATCCTTTTTTTCTTGAAGTTCTATTGGCTTCAAAACCCCTTGTAGGTGACGCCCAAGGCCCTTGCCTACTTCATAACCTCCTCGAATCAGCTCTTTGGCCATCATAACGCTGGCTTGAGGTAAATTCACTTCCACTGCCGCCTTGTCCTTGGACGCCCTTCCCACCGAAACAATGTCAGCTACATGGTGAAGGGAAACTAGAGCTTTTCTATCGCCATCATCTTCCGATGCAGGATTGATGAGCATAGTGCAATCTTCCTCAGCAAATATCGTAACCAACTAGCCATTCACCACAAATTTCAACATTTGATGGAGTGAAGAAGGTATGGCGCCTGAAGTATGAATCCAAGGTCGTCCGAGAAGAACATTATAAACACTCGAGAAGTCCATGACTTGGCACGTAACTTGAAATTGGGCAGGTCCGATTTCCAGCACCAAATCCACTTCCCCCATTGATTCCCTTTTCGCGCCATCAAATCCCCTCACCACAATGGCAGATGGCCGAAGTTTAGCTTTCTGAAATCCCAACTTAACCAAAGTGTTCCAAGAACAAATATTAAGAGCAGACCCATTGTCTATCAAAATCCTTGGTAATAACTTCCCATTACAACGGACTGAGATATACAACGCTTTATTGTGTCCAATCCCATCTGAAGTCAAATCTTCATCAGAAAAAGAAATTTGATTTGAAGCCATAACATGTTCAACTACATGAATGAATTTATCCACAGGAATATTCTTAGGCACTTGAGCCTTAGTTAGGATCTTGAGTAAAGCTTCTCGATGAAGTTTCGAGGTCAGAAGCAAATTCAATATAGAAATTTGAGCGGGCAATTTGTCCAATTGCTCGACCACCTTATACTCACTTTTCTTCAACATCTTAAGGAAATTGAAAGCCTCTTCATCAGTCACAATTGGTCTTGTCGGAACAACATTTTCTTTTGCTTTTGAGGGCTCATCAACTGCGGGTTCCCCTATGATTCTTTCAGATCTAGTAATGGCGTCCACTTCCCTTCTGGGCACCTTTTCCCCTCCAATTAATAGCGTGGGTTCGCTATAATTCCATGGGACCTCTTGTAGATTAAGAATAGGAGGCTGCTCAGGCAATTCAAGTACCACAAGCTCCGAAGGCTCACATTCCAAAGGCACCATTTCCAGAATAAACGGATCGGTATTTTTCCTGACTTTATAGGCCTGCTCCTCTAGTATGAATGGTTCTCCGATGACTCCCATTATCTCGGTTTCGTCTACAATGAATTGTGCAGGTTCCTCAATCTCTTCATTAATAGTAATAACTCCCACGGTGTCTTTGTGTGTTGGAAGAGGATTTTTGCTAACATTTGGACCTTGTTCCTCCCTCCTCCTCAGGACTATGTCTTCGGACTCAATCATGTCTTGAATTTTATACTTAAGCGCCCAGCAATTGGCAGTTGAATGTCCAGGGGCTCCCGAATGATAAGCACAAAATGACTGCGAATCATAACCAATGGAAAATCCTTTGGAGTAGGTCTTAGGGGGTACCGTACCAATCTTCCCAGCAGCTTTCAATTGCTCATATAACTGGTCAACAGGCCGACCTAAATTGGTAAAGGTCCGGTATGGGGTTGGACTTTGGGTGTCACTGGCCTGTTGGTATTGGTAATTTGGGTTAGGGGGTGGCATGGGTCTTGGATTGAAAGGAGGGCGCGGTCTAATTTGGAAGTTTGGTGGGGAAATATGAAATGGCGTTGACGGTGTGTTTGGGTAATTTGGTCGAGGACGGGGGTGGTTGATTGTGGTATTGTAGACAGGTCGAGGGCGTGGTTGGTATAGGTAATGAGGTGAGTAGGTGGGATTTCGTTGGTATGTAGCTCGGGAAGAAAAACCTTGGTTCCAAACAAAGGAAGTTTCCTCATCTTTCTTCTTAAACTGAAACTTTTTACTGATGCTGTTTTGGCTTTGCATAGCCTCTAATTGCGACTTTAAGGCTGAAACATTAACAATCTTGCCTGCCCTTATAAACTCATCATACTCTTCCAATTTGTTGACAATCTCAGCAAAGGAACACCCAGTCATACGGAAAATCTCTTCAAAGTAGGGTGGGTCATGAGCTTTAATGAACGTGCGAACAATTTCATTTTCGGTCATGGGAGGCTCCACCCTAGCAGCCAGCTTCCTCCATCTTTTCGCATACGTCTTATGGTCCTCCGATGGTTTCCTCTTGGTTCCCTCCAACGCGGTCCTCGTCGGAGCAAGCTCGCAATTATATTCATACTGCCTCACAAAAGCAGTCGATAAATCCATCCAAGATCTCATATCCTCAGGCTTCAAATTGGCGTACCAATCTAAAGCGTCACCTTCCAGACTCTCGAGAAATAAGCGCACAGGCAGGTTCTCATCATCTATTGGTCTCCCCAGCTTGTTTGCAAACATCCAAAGGTGGGTCTTGGGATTGCCAGTTCCGTCATACTTGGTAAACTTAGGTGCTTTGAAACCCACCGGCAATTGCATATCCGGAAACAGGCACAGCTCATTGTAGTCTAGACCTCCTTGCTTGCTCAAACCTTGGCTTTTCCTTATAAATTCCTCAAACTTATCCAATCTCTTTAGTAAATTCTTGTCCACGGGCACGGATGACCCCCCCAGCTTCAGCTTTCCCTTGAACGGCGGTATCTAGGGTGAATGGTTCAGCGGTGGAGTAATAATGTGGTCCTTGTGATTCGAAAGGCATGCTCA